GTTATTTATTAGACTTGATTTTCATCATGTGTTATAATATTGTTCTTTGCATGTTTTTATGACTGAAGATGAAACATGTTAACATGTTGTTTTCTTAAGTCACGCTCTGGAGTCATACACTGCCCTCCCCTACCACCAGAGGAGCCCCTGCCCTCCCAACCCTATCAACCGGCCCGCCTACCAAGGCAGCAACCCGATCAGTGACGTCTGGTCCCGCCACGCCCTCAACGTGGTTGCCAAATACATGAAGCGGTGAGTTGAACGGGAACCACAGAAGATCCGATCTGGTTCCCTGAGGAACGCTGCCGAAGATCTAAACAGAAACCAGATTTGTCTTTCTCTTGGTTTTAGTCCTTGTGAGGGCTGCATGTAAAACAGTCCATTCTTAACAACCATCTTCAGTAGAATCCTCAGATATCCATTTAGCAAATAGCGGTCACGACTCTCCTCTGTGTCAGGGGGTGTGGCTGAGTTTACAAACAGGCCCCGCCCACAGTCACCCCCCACCGCACTCACTTTACAACTTTACTTTGTGTTGTTTGATTTACTCCAGTTTGAGACACAAACATTGATACATATTGCTACACAAACATTGCTACACAAACATTGATACACAAACATTTATACACAAACATTGATACACAAACATTGATACACAAACATTTTGTGCGCATGCACCTGCTACACAACACGAGACGTGACGCACACAGTCGGGACGTCAGGGTCAAGCGAGGAACGATTGGGATTCATGATCCGACATCATCGATGAATAATTAAATACATGGGATTGTTTTTGTTTGTGTGAAGAGCGACAGAGATGGACACACACACACACACGTTTCTCTCCTGGTCACATGATGGCCTATACAATGATTACGTTCACTCTCTCTGGTGTGATACTTTAACATGAGTATGAACATAATCTACATACTCAGCATTTTTTGGATTCTGTTGTCTTTCTGTGATATTTTATTCTCGTGTCTGCTGCCGTAACAACTCGTGTGGATCCATAAAGTTTTATCTTAAGTTTGGTGAACAGGCAGGGAGTCCATTTTAGTTATTGTTTTGGTTGTGTTTTTTTTAATTTGTTTTATTTATTGAGGATATTATAAGATATGAATTCTAATTCATTGCTCTTTTATGATTTCATGATTATGTTATTATATCATTATATCAGGAAAATGGTTTCAAAATGATGAGACGTTTCCTTGGAAAGTTTACTCCTTTAATTTCTTTCATATCTGAGAAAAACTGGTATTGTTACTGAAATATCCTGAACTGAATCGTGATCTTGTGAATCATGAACAGGATTCTTATGAACAGTATCTGATTGATTGATTGATGCAGAGCTGTGCGGGACCCTGAGGACCTGGAGGCTCGGTCCAGCATGCACCTGGCCAGTGTGTTCGCTGGAATCGGCTTCGGAAACGCTGGAGTTCATCTGTGGTGAGGAACAAAGATTTAATGTCACTAAACATCGAACTTTAAATTGAATGTGATTTTGTTTATTTTAACTCTGTTGCATCACATGCTGAATGTTTGTAGCCGGAGGAGATGGTTCACTGATGAATGATGAACGATGGAGACGCAGAGAGCAGCAGTAAATTACTGACAGACGCTAACAATTATAAAAAACATTTTACGGTTCAAACATGAAAAGAACCAAAATGATCAGTGTAAGCACATTACCTGATCACTATAATGACCTGAAACCTTTTGAGATGATGTTTGTGATTGGCTAACTGTGTTCAGGTATCGACGGTCTTTAATCTAAAGTCAAATATGAAACTTAGAAATAATAAAATAATAACCAGAAGACAAGTCTGTTTGGAAATAATGAATAATGAACTACTATTGTGAAAGTATACGTTTAAAATGTTTTTTGTGTTTCAGTCACGGGATGTCGTATCCGATTGCTGGTAATGTAAAGACTCACTCAGCAAAGGGTTACAGTGTGGATCACCCCCTGGTGGTGAGTGATGAGAAGACAACACATCTGCATGAACACTTTTAAATGATGAACATACAAAATAAATGATTAGCATGTTGATGCTTCTGAAAGTTTTTATGAAAACATTGGACACAAAAGACAGTTTCATAAATCAAAGACTTGAGCAACCAATCACAGAGTGAGACTTTACATTAGCACAACAAGCTAATGTTAGCATTCTAATTGGTCTGTTCCCCACTTATGTTGGTGCGGAGCTAAAACCGACTGAATCTCATGATTGGCTGCTGGTGTCTAATGTTTCCTTAATGCTGCTCTTTGAATGGTCACCTGCAGTGGAGGTGGGCGGAGCATCAGAAATTCTCATTGAGGAAGTAAATGTCATGATAAAGATAATATTGATTATTATTATTAATTATTGTTGTTATCATTAGTTTTATTGAACAGATGAATATAGTGTGTGTGTGTGTGTGTGTGTGTGTGTGTCCTCAGCCTCACGGTCTCTCTGTCGTTCTCACGTCTCCGGCCGTCTTCAACTTCACGGCCCCAATGTGTCCAGAGCGCCACCTGGAGGCTGCAGAGATCCTCGGTACCTGTTCCCCACTTCACCCGTTCACCCGCCATCGGCACAACAAAAACAACACGACATGACAACAACATAGCAAAGACACACAAATGCATATGACCAATCACAGACATGGACAGTTTGACTGACAGCAGAGCTGAGGATCAAACTTGAACAATAAAAATCAGGAGAACAAACATCCGGAATTAAAGAAACAGTTCCAGCTGCTCAACGCAGGAAGAACAGCTGGAGAAACATCTGGATTGTTTTTATAGTAATGAATAGTGTTAACAAGAGTGGATCTGAAAATAATCAGACCCGAGCACTGACGGTACCAGGACAGATTATTATAAGTAGTATTATTATTAGTAGTAACAGTAACAGACTGTGTGTTGTGTTGTGTTCAGGTGCAGTAACAGACTGTGTGTTGTGTT